CGCCCCGCAGGTGATCGTGTGGGGGAACTATGGGCGCATGGAGCGGAAGCAGTTCATGGGTGTGGCCCGAGTGCTACTGGAGGAGCTGGACTTGACCACCCTGGCCGTGGGCTGGTACAAGCTCTTCCCCACCTCCTCCATGGTGGACCCAGCCGCGGGCCCCCTGCTCCGGCAGGCGTCCCAGTTGTCCCTCGAGAGCACCGTGGGCCCCTGTGGCGAGCGATCTTAGGGCCGGGGTGGGGAGGGGCTCCCCGAGAAGGCCTGGAGAATGCCCAGCCCCAACCTGGGACCCCAGGCCCAGGGGCACATTGAACAGAGGAGGATGGGGTTCTCCCCCACAGTGGGGAAGCAGAACGGGGAGACCTGACCCCCAGGGCCCCTCCTCACCCCCTTTTTGCCTCCTACCCCCTAAGACCTTCCCTCTCCCAACGGGATTGGCTGCACTTTTGACTTGGCCGGTTCTTGACCTGGTGGATGTGGCTGCAATCCGGAGAAAGGAAAGACTGAGGTGGCAGAGCATACCATCCTCCTGTCCCAGACACTGTCCAACTGCTCCCCCTTTTTGCCTCCTCGGAAGCTCGCTGCCCGGAGCCAAGTCCAGAACCCAGCGGCCATCTCCATGGTGCCAATTACCAGCAAGTGTCTTTCCTGCGGCACCGGGTTCAGGCAGCTACTCCTGCCCCAGAGCTGATGGGGCAGCTTTGCAAGGATCCGGAGCCAGCTCCGGGGGGTCCAGAGCCTCCCACATGACGAGGAGCTCGGCCTCCCTCCGCCTGCCCGTGGAAGGAGCTTTGCCGCAGCCTGTCCGAGTCCATCTGTCTGTCCCTTCCTGCCTGCCCCTCTTCCGGTGGCTCTAGGAATTGGGGTCCAGCAGGGGCCAAAGGAGAGGAGGCGGTGCCCTGGACCTGGCACAGACCCCCAGGGTGCCTAGCTCCGTGGGATTGCAACGAGATAGTGTGGAAATGGACTGGAAAGAACTGGGTCGTCTGTGTTTTGGTGAAGGAGCCACGGGACCCTGATTTTCGAGAACCCCAAGTCCAGGGAGCTCACCGTCTCTGAATTTGGGGACGCTGGATTGGAGAGGGAGTCTAAGCAAAGTTGGGGTTGGGACCAGTGGTGCCAAGGCAAGGGTTTCCCATATAGGAGAATCCCTCCTCGTTGGGTGAGGTCAAAGGTCTTCTTGTCTACCCCTCTGCCTCCAGGCTAGGGGTCTGGGGAGGCAACAGAGCTTCCCTATTTTAGTCTTTTTAAACAAACCATCCTGTACTAAGGGCAGAACCCACTGCCCCTGCCTCAACTACCTTGGCTCATGAGTGTAAGAATCAGGAGATTCCTTCTCAAGCAAGCCTGGGTAGCTGCCTTCCTGGCCCGGCCCTCCCCGAGGCCCACGGAAGCCCTTTTGCATGCTGGGAGGACACAGGCTGGCCCCTCTTTATAGAAGCACATTTCTGCCACCTCCCCTGGGAGGCACCCAGCAGCCCACCACCCCTCATTACCCAGTCCCTGCTGTGTAGGGCGTAGTCCAGTTTAGCTGGGTAGAGTTAGCGTTCCAAGCCCTGGGGCCTCTTCTTAGCTTGCATATAGTCTTTACAGAGTTCCAGGATGGGTAGAGAGGAGGCACACCAGAACATTCCAGGAGGCGGCTGTCTCCTCACTGGTCTGGGTCTGAGCCTGGAGCCTGATTCATGGGAGGCCAGCCCTTCTTCTTCCTCTTCTCGCCCCTCCTCCTCCCTCCCCACCCCTCTGACCCGGTTGTAGCTGGAGATGCCCCTTATACTCAGATGTTCTGACGTCTTATCCTTGGTACTGGTTTTATTTGTGAAGCACTCCTGAGGGTTGTGGGCCTTGGTGGAGAGGCCTGGGCTCCATTGGAGGAGGTCATTTTCCACCGAGGATGCCCAGCTGTGTTCAGCCCTGCCTTGTCCTTGGCCTCACTCTAGGCTACTGATCTGGCAATTTCTTCCACCTGGAATCCCTCTCCTCTATCCTTCCCTCTCCTCCCCTCTGCCTCCTTAAGCCCTGGGGAGCCTTTAAAGTCCCGGATGAGTTATATCGCCTCCATAGAGCTTCCCATGCTGCACTGGGAAGGGGAGACAGAGATGCCCCTTTCTTTTATCGATGAGCTCTTCCGAGCTTCCTGGGATTGTGCTGGGTGGAATCCCAAGGCTGGGGCAGGAGGCAGCAGGGCTCTGGGTGGCCTCTAATCTGAGGCCCAGAATCAGCCCCTCCCCTGTTTGTTTTTTTAACCAGTGTGATTTCTCTGCTGTTCGTTTATTACTCACCATTTGGAATATTTTGAGCCAGGAGAGCGCCTTCTCTCTCCAGCCGTCACTGCTCTGGTTGTTCAGGGGTAGCTTTTCAAAGACGGGGCAGAGCCAGGCTGTCCCAAACAGAGGGAGAGAGGGCTCGGAGCCCCCCCCCAGCCCGAGCCTACCCTCTGGTGTCCGCACAGCCTTTATAAAGGGAGAGAGCACGCTCCAAAGCAATAACAACATCCTGGGGGTGGTCACCGAGGGCCCCCCTCAGTGACTTTCTTGTTTGTTCTGTGAAATCTCAGTTCACCTCCTGGTGGGGTGGGGTGGGGGCTGGAGCCCTGTTTCTTCGTATCATTGTTGTGAGCACGTGCCCCGCTTCCAAGGGGGCTCTGACCATTTGGTGCGGAACCACTGTCTGTCCTCACCAAGAGATGGGGGTTTGGGGAGGGGGTGACTATTCTCAGTATTAGCTTTGGGGAACCTTCAAGGCCAGCCTGTCCCTACTGCTGTCTGATCCTTGCCAGCTCAAGCTCCGTCTGGAGAGGAGCAGAGAGGTGGAATTGTGGGATTTGGGAGTGGGAGGCTAGGGTTTATAGAGGGGCTGATTCTTTTTTCAATCTCTGGGCCAAAAGTCACATGCAGGGGTACTGTGGGAGGGAGTCTTCTCCACTTCCCTTCTCCAGAGTCCACTTTCCATACAGCTGGGAACAGACCTTTGGGACCATTCATGAAGTCCATTTTACTGATGAAGACTGAGGCCTGGCGAGGGGAACACTCGCCTCTGGGGTCACCTGTGAGTTGGGTGGCGCCTCCATCCTGGCCTCCTCCCACCCGAGGCTGAGCTGGAACCAGAGCAGGGCCAGGTGGGGCCACCGTTGCCCACGACACTTCTTCCTCCCTTCTCTCCGTAGAGCCTCCCAGAAAAGATGGGAAGAGCAAATTGTAGCCCATCTGAGAGGGGAGGAAACTAAGGCCCAGAGTCAGGAAGTGACTTGCCCAAGACCCCTCAGCAGATGCGTGATGGGGCTCTGTTGTGCTTCCCTCCATGGGACCGGAAGCCACTGCCCAGGCATGTCTGCCATGATAAGCATTTGTGGCCTTTCAGCCCTGGGCCACGGGGCCCTGCTTGGTTCCATCTCTGCGGACCCCGGTTTGGCGGAGAGAGTTACCATAGAGCCCTAGCTGCCCTGGGGTCCGGCCCAGCGGACTGAGGGTGCCCAGGATTTGGTCCAGACCTCGGTGTCTGGGTAGGGGTTCCTGCTGGGGGTGGGTCAGAACCCCCGTAGGACCAACCTGAGGGAGGTAAGAAGTGCCGGTTCCCGCCCGGGGGCTGTGTGGGAGTGAGACGGCTGTGACACACGTCATCTTAAGGAAAGCCTCACAAAACTTTCCGATGTAACAAGATCTGACCTTCCCGTAGTGCTTTTCAAACTTTTGCTTTCCAAGTGCTTTTACGTTGAGCATACCCTCACAAGAGCCCCTGGGGGGTAGAGGGGGCCTGTATTGTCAGCCCACTTTACGGAGGAGGAAGCTGAGGCCCTGGGAGGGAAAGTACCGGCTAAGGTCCCACTGTGGGTTCCCGGCGGGGTCCGGACTGGAACTCAGTTCTCCCACAGCTCAGAGCTCTAAGAGGAGGTGAAGCAGATAGCTTAGAGGGTGGTTACGTACTTTACGAGCTGATTCACCATCCGGTTCCTTAAACCAGGAGCTCCTGGGCGCACTTCGGTGTTCAGAAGCGGCGCCGAGCCCCCCTCCCTTTGGAGCACAGCTGTTGCGTCAGGCAAGGCCACCTGCATTTATTTATTGAGCAGCAGCACTGTGCCCGGCCCAGGGGACCGAGCCCTCTCCCGTTCCCCCGCAGTGATTCCCCTGGCTCTGTGGGAGGGCCCCTTGTCTGTATAGCAGCGCCTCAGAGTGGACAGAAGGCTGCCATGTCCATGAGCGCATCGGACTCAAACCCTGTGGGGGAGGCTGACTGTGCCCATGTACTCCTAGCTTCCGTGAGGGCAAAGTGGAGACTTGAACCCGGGGCCTCAGGCATCACATCTGGAGCCCTTTCATTCTATGCCTGCCTCCGAAGGGGGTGGCTGGGAGGCCGGACCCCGGGTCCTCAGGCTGGGGGCCTCTCCATCCACCCACTTTTCTCTCACTCCCCCTCTGGGAGCAGGAGCCACTCGGGACTTTGGGGAGGGAGGGTTTCCAGGGCGCCTGGGTTGGAGTGGGTCACGTTGCATTGTGTTCATGACCATGTAGCTCATGTTGAAAATTAAAGTTTTTGGCTTTTCTAACCTGGCTCGCTCTGCTTTGTGTTGAGAGTTCTATCTGGGAAGCCACGGGTAGTTGGTGTTTGAGGAAGCCGAGCGCTGCAGGATGCCACGGACACCTTAGGGGGCAGGGTGCATCCCAGGAACCCTTCCAGAGATGTAGGGGGTGGGGGGTGGGGACACGATTCCAGCTGAACTCAGTCATTACAGATGTGGAAACTGAGGCCCAGGTAGGGGATGACATTCCCCAAGGTCACGCTGAGGGCAGTTGGCAGGACCCAGATCTCACGGCTTCCAGAAGAGGGGTCTTCCCACAGCATTTGACTGCGTCCAGGTGCTCCAGTGATGTGGTGGGTGTCAACAAGGCCCTCCTCGTCCTCGGATGGCGCTCGCCAAGGACAAAGAACATGGTGGGGGGGGGGGGTCGGGCGGAGGGTGTGTTTCATTCACACAGGGGTCAATTCCACTCTACACATTGAGCAAGAGGATGAGCAATCTTTTAAATAGTGCAGATTTGTCCGCCCCTACACTCGGGGACAGGAGCTGTTTCCCTTCAGTGCATCCGATCCCCATGCCTCTCCTGGTGTGAGCAGCTTGCCTCACTGCCTGCCTCCCAGGGTTGAAAGTCCCGCATTTTCCCTTACAACACGGAAAACCTGCCTCCTCTCTCAGCGGAGAAACAGCCACCTGTTTCCACTCGGGAGGGCTAGCTGATGACATGGGCCTGTGGAGAGCCTCTCCTGGGTGGCTGATGTGGCCGCGCCTTCCTAAAACAGTTCGGACCACGGGGATTTGCACCTACAGGACGTGCTTGTGCTTAAGGTGTGGCTGTAATGGATTTTTGGAGAGGAGGGAGGGGCTGGCCACAGAAGGGAAAGACACTGCTCGTGGCAGAAGACGGCCCTGAGGCCACAGCCCCTCTACCCTCTCCAAGCTCTGGGGAACATGCCCTGACAGGTGACCCTAGCCCCTCCTGTTCCCTCGACCTCCCCCAACCCCCACCGTCCGGGGCCCGGGACAGGGCTGTCAGATGGACTTCCGCCGGGCCGGGGGCCTGCCCACCGTGCCGCCGCCCACAGCCCCAGGGCTCGAGGGGGGTGAGAAGGCCAGGTTGTCGCGGGCCCCCAGCTGCAGCCGGTGCACGCGGGACGAGATGGAGGCGGAGCCCCCGGCGCGGGCAGGGCAGCGGGGCGGAGGGCGGCCGCGGCTCTCGGGCGCCCCCAGGCGGAGCGGGCTGGCGCGGCGGGTGGCGCGCTCGGGCGCGTCGGTGCTGGCCGCCAGAAAGCGCAGGACCACGAGGTTGAGGAAGGCGCCGATGACCGTGAGCCCCAGGAGGATGTAGAGGAAGCTGAAGGCCACGTAGGGCGGCTTCCTCTGAAGCGCCTCGTCGCTCTGCAGCGCCACGAAGTCACCAAAGCCGATGGTGGTGAGGGTGATGAAGCAGTAGTAGTAGGCGTGGAAGAAGGTCCAGCCCTCGAAGTGCGCGAAGGCGGCGGCCCCGAGGGCCAGGGTGGCGGCGCACACCAGCAGCCCGGCCACCACCATGTTCTCGGTGGACACGCGCGGCCGCCGCAGGCCCAGGCAGCGCTTGGCCGCCAGCAGGAGGCGCCGCACCAGCGCGTTCAGGCGCTCGCCCAGGCTCTGGAAGGTGACCAGCGTCAGGGGGATGCCCAGGAGCGCATAGAACATGCAGAAGACCTTGCCCGAGTCCGTGCCCGGCGCGGCGTGGCCGTACCCTGCAGGGAGAGCGGAGGGGAGGGGTGGTGAGCACCGGCCGCAGCCGCCCTGTCCGGGCTCCCTCCCCTGCCCCCCGGAGCCTGCGCAGCGTCTTGAATTGCTGCTTCTAACTAGGTCATTCCCCGCCTTTGAAACCTTGTGTGGCTATCCCTAACCGCCCCAAATTGTAAACAACCCAGCGTCCCTCGGCTGGGGAACGCGTAAACAACCTGCGGTACACACGTACAATGCAATTCCGTTCCGGAACAGAAAGGAATGAACTGGGGTTACCTGCGCCAACAAAGGATGGGTCTCAGCTGCATTACGGTTAGCGAAAGAAGCCAAGCGCAAAAGACTACACACTCCATGGTTCCATTGAAATGGCATTCTGGAAACATTCTGGCAAAACCATGGGGACAGAGAGCAGATCTGTGGTCGCCAGTCCTTGTGGTTGGAGGAGGGGGTTAACCAGAAAGGGGCATGACAAATTTGGGGGCGATGGGAGCCTGCTAAGTCTCGGTGGTGGCTGCAGGACAGGTCCTCACCCGTGAGAACTCGCCGAGGGCTGCTACACTGAAAAATGTGTGTTTCACCGTGTGTGAAGTATGCCTTGATTTAAACATCAAGCAAAATCTTCCATGGTGCCCCAGGACCCACAGGGTAAAGCACCTACCACTTCTCACTTGGTGTCGGAGCTCCTTGGTGATATGACTCCCCCTACCACCCCGCACCTGTCCAGCCCCACCCTGTGTTGTTCCCCCAACCAGCATTCCCACCTCCACATGCCTCTTCTCATGGTATTTTTCCTCCCCTGGATAGCCCTTTCCCTGCTGCCCTAGTCCACGACTTCCCACATCCTGCTCCAAGCCAGCCCTCGCTAAGCACTTCTTCAGTCTGAAGCAGTAATTCTTCATCAGGTCCCCTCGACTGCTGTCGGGGACCTACACACGAGTGGGCCTCCTGGAGTCCTGGACCACCATGCCATCCCCAGGGACCGAGCATTCCTGGAGAGAGGAGCGAAAGCTTTCAGGGTATTCTCAAAGAGGCCCATAACCCAGGAAAAGTGCAAAGAAGGTGCCCCCTCTAGCAAATGGACACCATCTGCCAAAATGTAAATACACAAACGCTTGGCCCGTGCATTTCCACAGTTAGGAAGTTAGTCCTCCAAAACACATGTGTGTGCAAAGTGAGGTGTGCATGGGGGGCATCAGGGAAGCATCGTCGCTCGTGGTGAAAACTAGGCAACCTAAGTGTCCATCGGTAGGGGCCTGGTGAAATAAATCATGGTGCCAACCAAATGACAGAGCCCTACGCAGCAATGGTTCCGACCAAGGGTCATTTTGTCCCTGAGGGGGACATTTGGCAATGTCTGGAGACATTTTGGGTGTCACAACTGGGATGGTTGTGTGCTCCTGGCGTCTTGTGGGTAGAGGCCAGGGACGCTAAACATCCTGTGATGCACAGGCCAGCCCTCCCTCCACAACAGAGTTATCCGGTCCGATGTGTGAGTAGTGCTGGGGTTGAGAAATGCTGCTATACGGCCAAGAAAAAGATGACACAGCTTTTTAGGGATTGATTTTTTAAAAATCGCCAAAATATATTAAGTGAAAAAAGAAAGTGCGAGACAAAACAGTGTGTATAACCTAATGTCTATATATGTGTGTGTTTTAAAGGAATACACAGGTAGAGAATATATGTGGAAGGATGCACAAAAAAACAGTAACTGTATTTGACTCAGGGTAAGAGACTTATGGGTTGAGGGACAGGGTGAGAGGGAGACTTCCTTTTCATTCTCTACCCTTTTGTGTATGCTGCGTGCACACATCATTTATTCAGAATATCGACACAATACATGTTATTAAAGATCTGTGGCTCCACATCCACATTTCTATTGCATGGCCCCATCAGTTTGCCCCCTATCTGTTTTTGGGGGGAGCTCCGCCCACGAGACTGTGAGCTCCTTGAGGCCAGAGACCACGCCAATCACTTCTGTGTGTCCCTAGTCACCAGTGCCCTGCACAGAGCCTGACACAGACAAAAGGCCCAATGAAAGTTTAATATCGATAATGCTCATCATCAATAATCAAATCAAACTGAAGGGGGTGCTGGGTGCGACACAGGGGAACCTTTTTAGCAGTAAGATGCGAAGCAGCGCTGTTTCCAGCTGGTTGGGGCTAGGTCAGGCTTTGACAGAGTGAAACGAGCAATGATAATAACTAAACATGCTAGGCACTCTACACAGATTATTTTATTTTACCCTCCTAATTACTGTATGCAATATTAGTCTCCCGTTTTTGCAGACAAGGTAACTAGGCTCAGAGCAAGGAAGCTGCCCAAACATCACAGGGCCTGAGCCATTAACCACTCTCCTCCATTGTGCCTCAGTGCCTCTTGCAGAGCTCTGGCTCCTGGGTTCTGGCGCTGGGCTCTCTGCAGGGCTGGCTTTTGCAGCCGGGACCACACAGCCCCAGCTGGCGCCCCCAGGTGGCCGGAAAAGGCAAAGCTCCAGCTGTTTCCAAGCTGGGTCCCCCCCCCCCCCCCCCCCAAGGTGCCAGTGAGGAACAGCCCACAGAAAAGGCCAAAACCAGCTGTGAGCCTTCCAGATAACGTGGGGGAGGGCAGAAAAGGTGGATGGGGTCCCACACCACTGGGCATGGCAACAGAGAGTGTCTTGGGCTGAGCCTGGGTAGGGAAGCAGGGGTGCCCATGTTCACAGGAGGGGTCATAATGGGCTGAGTGGGAGCTGGGCCCACAGCTGGCAAACAATGAATTGTTATATTGTTATTATGACCAATTAATAGTGCCTATTTAGCCTCAGGCACCTTGCCAAGCATTTTACACACTTGACCTCATTTAAACCTGGCAACCACCCAGCGAGGTAGCAAGCACTGCATTTGCAGTCGAGAAAACCAGGGCTCCGGGAGGTACGTTCAATTGCCAGAGAAGACAGACAGGAGGCAGCAGAGATGAGAACGGAACTCTGGGCTATGTAATTGCAGAACTCGGGCTTTTAACCCACAGCTCACATTCGTTCGCCAAGAGCATTAGGAAAAAACTTTCTCCAAAGCTCAGGCTTCCACAGTGGTGATCCAAGCTCTAGGGGGTGCCTGGACATCCACAGCTGGGGCCTGGGAAGCGGCGGACACCCGGCCTGGAGCCCTGCAGAGCCTGCTTCTCTCCTTTCCTGCTTCCCCAGGCTTCTGCTCAGCAGGTACCAGCCAGACGGTAGCCATGGCAACGACTGACGGTCCAGATGCTGCAGAGAAACTGCTCTGGATCCCCGAGGGTGAGGTCCAAAGCTTGTGGTAATCAGTCATTCCTTCAACAAATATTTATTGAGTGTCTACTATGCGCTCGGCTGGGTACACTGCAGTGACTAAGACAGACTAGATCCCATTGTCATGGAGTAACGGCATAATAATTATAATACAAAAATCAATCTCTCTCTCTTTTTTAGTGCTTTGTATGTGTCATGCCCTGCGCTAAAACTTTCTGCACACATTATCTCCTTGGCAATAATTATCTCGGTACAGCCCTGAGATAGGGCCTATTAGCAGCCCTATTTTACAAAGGAGAAAACTGAGGCTCAGAGAGGTTAAGCAACTTGTCTGAGGTCACGCAGCTAGTGTGATGCAGCCAGGCAAGGAAGCCTCCGTCTCCAGCCACTCGCGCTTCGCCCCGCTCCACCTGTCTCCCGGCCCCTGGAGGCTTCCCCCGAGCACTCCCGCGTGCCACCTCTGGGCGAACTTGAGCTTCCCGACTCCTCCCAGCCCCGCCCGCGTGGGACGCCGTCCCCTTTCGGCGGAGGGCGGCTGAAACGACTGGTCCACAGCCACCGGGCCCGGGCAGGGGCAGAGGAGGGGTTCGAGCCCGAGGCGGGGGGCGCCGCGGGGCCCGCTCACCGATGGTGGTGATGACGGTGATGGCGAAGTAGAAGGAGCCGGCGAACTTCCACTGGCGGCCGGCGCGGTGCGGCTCGGCCTGCAGCGCCAGGCGCTCCAGCTCGCGGTAGTCCTCGGCCGAGAAGCGGTACTTCCTCCGGAACTCGCCGCGCTTCTGGGCCAGCAGCCGCTGGCGGCCGCGCTCCGCCTCGGACTCGAGCGCGTCGAAGACCGCGGCGCCCACCAGCAGGTAGGACAGGATGCACAGGATGAGCGCGGCCGTGCGCACGCTCTGCTTCCTCATGGCGGCGCCGCGGGCCCCGCGCCCCGGGCCCGTCCATGCGCCCCGAC